TGATTACATTGTTTAGTGCGATTTATCGATTTGTATCTAATTAGGATGTTTGTTATTATTAACTTACCTTATTAATATTGAATATACATTCTAATATATAGTTTCTATATACAGTTTCTCATATGATTAATCGTATAGAATATATAATATTCTCAATAATTTATTAGAGAATATTATATTTATTAGCTTATCATGCAAGCTAAATCATTGAGAAACGTCCACCAATTTACTATATATAAGACATACACAGTAGGAGAAACGAAGCCACTAAACTTTTTATTCTGAACTTTTTATGTTGATACTGTTTTGTTATTTTATATCATTAAGCTTTTATATATACATATTTCATCAGAGCTGACTTTTCTTTTGGTTTATATGCAGATGCCCTATTATAACGACTTCACCACGATGCAGGTAAATTTTTTTATCTTTCTATATGATTTGATTAATCGTAGATCTATTTGAATTCTATTTCTTACTTTTTTAAATATGTTCATAGGTATTGTCTTTCTATTTAATGATTGTTTGTTAGAGCTTATAGAAGGAGAAGAATGCTTTCATATGTATTTTTCTATTGGTTTTTAATTTACAATTTTAGTTTATATGCGCAGACCAACGATTATGACGTTTCCTCTTGTGGATCCATATGTACTTAAATCTTTCTTCACATTCATGTTATACAGAGACATGAACATTACAAATGATCATATCATCCAAAACACGTAAACTACAATGTAAGTTTCATGCTTTGTTACTTTCTCTATGATTTTTCAAATAATTATTTGCTTATACACTATTGAAAAAAAAATCTTTAATCAATATTTTATTATAAAAGTTAGTATAACTTTTTATACATTTTATCAACTTTGTACTCAAATATGATTTTATACAATTTATCATATTATAAAATGTATATCTTATAAATTCATATATGTAAACTATATAGTTCTTTTTTGTCATTTTTTTTTGTCATCATAAACTATATAGTTATATGTCAATTATAATATAACTTTATACAATTTATCACATAATAAATTATGTATATAATTCAGAGTTAGAATATGATATGTGTAACATTTTTGTATATATTTCTAATACTAATGTTAGAATTAAATCAGTTATATACAAATTTCTATATTAAACATAAGTGATAAAACATAATTATTATATATTTCTATAGATTTACAATATATCAAAATCAAAACTATTTATTATTCTTTAATTTTATAACCATATTATAGTATTAGGAAATATATACCTTGTTGGTAGGATTTTAATTAGTTAATTCGTTTATTAATAACTTGCCTTATTTTATTAGCAGTTACTTGCACAAGTTGATACGATGATTACCTTATTGTGCCATCAGTTACTTGTCTTAAATGATATGTTAATTATTGCAAATTTATGACAGTCAAATTTTTAATATCTTTCTTTGATTGCTTCATGTTTATTAAAATGATACAAATATTACAAGAACCATAAGACTTTATATATCTCAAGAAATGTCTTTACAAGAATTTTTATAACAAATATTTCAGGAACCATAAGACTTAATGATAAAATATGATTATTAATTCGTAATTATTCTTTAAATTTGATATATTCTGATTTTTTTATTATATATAATTCTAAAAGAAATAATCTTTTTAGGAAGTATTTTTTAAAATATACATTTAATTGAAAATTTTAAAAATTAAATTTTCGTGAAATATATGTCTATTAAGTAAATTTCTTATTCTTTTATGATGTCATTTATTGGTAACTATATACATGTGATATTGCATTAAATGTGTATGTTTTTTATTTCTTAATTAGTTAATTCAGAAATATGATGATTACCTTATTTTGCTATCAATTACTTGCACAAATTTATATGATAATGGTGATTTGAGTTAGAAAAGCCCAAAAATACTATCCATTTAGAAAACCACAAATATAATGGTGATTTGAGATTTAGAAAAGCCAAAACTATTATCTTTATTATATATATATATATATATAAATATATGGATCTTAAAAATGTAATTTACTATATATATACATTTGTTTGTTCTTTCTATTAACAGATAAATAACACAGATGAAATACCGTTTGTAGTTGACTACAAACCATTTTTCAGTCTGTTTTAATAGCGATATGCAAATTTAATATTATTTTCGACTCGATAAAATTTAGAAATCTATTAAATTATTTTATATTGTACAATTGCTAAAAAATTGACAATTTTTTGCAGGTTTCTATGTGATTATTTTAATTCATAATTGTTCTTCTTATTTTATATTACTTATGAATTATATTTAAATTTTTATCACATTTTCTATGGGATTGTGATATATATGAGATTTTTATCACATTTTTAATGTCACTGTCTCCTGTATATTTTCTTACATTTGTTTTTTTAATAGTTAACTTTTATTAAAAACATACTAATGATGTTAATTTTTTTTTTACTTTAGTTAACTTTCATTTGTTTTATTCTTATATACTTTTTGTGACTTTTTTATTTTTTGTTTCAGTTTAATATTGAATTTAGTTCACATACTTTATGTGTATATGTTTTCAAACATAATTTTTCTTTTAAAAAATTAAGCGACAAAGAGCCTAATTAAACCGATCCAAAAACAAACCGAACTGAATATAAATTGAACTGGACATAAACAACACCGAATCAGACTAAATAAGGTTTATTTCAGTTGAAAAAATATATTAAAACCGAATTAAACAAACCAAACCGAAAAGTACCGATTTGCCCACCTCTACTACATCTTAGAGATTTGCGCAAATCTTGTCTCAGCATTGAAACTCTCACTTGTTCCACTAACTCCCACATTTGAACTCAATAGATACTCATGTCTCAGCATTATACTATATTTTTATACCCGCACAGGGTGCGGGCCGGTCACCTAGTTTTAATGAAATGAATAAACAGAAAAAGTAAGCAAAAACTTGCCGATTATATGCATGATACACCCATTGATTTTCGGTGACACCAGCGATTTGAAAAACTGAAAGTTATAGAAATTTGTGAAAATAATGGATTATATAGTATGTATACAAAAGGTGTGAATTTTATAGAAATATGACAATTAATATGACACGTAAAATATAAATATATATATATATATATATTATTTTTTCATCTGATTTTACTTATTTTGGTTATGGAATATAGAGGTTTTCCCATTGGAGATGGAGTATTGACTTAATTTGTGGTCATAACCTTTGGCTTATCATCATTACCAAACGAATCTCGTTTGTTGATCAATCTCTTTCTTTCCCTTAACTGCCTCCCGATTTAGACCCACGTATATATTATTCGATCCCCACCACACTATTATTTCAAAATAAAAGATTAATTCACATAGTTGCTATGTTTAGTGAACTAATATTCACCTAAAAAGCATTCAATCACAGTACTAGAGACTATATAATATACCCCCTACGGCCTACGTACGTACCAGCTTTCCTTTGACATGTTTTCTTCGCTAAGCACTAAAATCGAATTTTTGTTTTAGTAATATATAATGTGTTGCTCTCTGCACCACTGCTTTCTTTTTTTTTTTTTTAAATTCGTCGAGCTAAAAGTTTATCATTTGTCTTCTAATGTGATCGTTCTCCTTGGCTTGGCCCTTCATAATCCAAATAGATTACCTGATTAATTATACTTAGCATACGTAATAAGTATAGAAAAAATGAATTTACTATAGTGATCAACTAAACGTCATATAAAGCTTGCCATACAGTATGTGCCAACTCTTCTAAATCAGCTAATGCATTGCCTTGTTCTATTACTAGCATTTTAAATCTCCTACTTGTCTACTTAAAAAATGGGAAAGAAAATATGTGACATTTATCAATGCTTCACATATTTCCAAAAAAAATAGAAAAAGAACTACGTAGTGTACACGGACTTTGTTAATTTAATTATCGAGGCATTGCCGTACGTAGTAGGGCAGCCTTCAAGGCTTGAGTCGAGGCGTGTTCGTTACGCTTTACCCTCTGTATCCGGTGGTCACACACTCACAAGCTCCCTTTTAATCACGGGATATCGAGGGTTTCCCGCGAATTTTGCCGGTTTCCTATAACTAACTTCTTTTTTGAGTTATTTTCATTCAGTTAAAAAAAAAAACATAAAAATCAGTTAAAACACAAAACTATGTCTCTCTCTCGCCGACACTTTAGTGGTTCGATCGTTTTATATTTCAAGATAACTCAATCATCTTTTTATGATATAACCATAAGTATGATATATAGATGATGATCAACAATTACGTCTAAGAAAATTCAAGTCCTTTAATGTGTAAGATTTTTTAAAATATATTTCCTGATAAACTCAATCAACCTTTTACGTTTCATATTTCATGATAAACTCAATCATCTTTTTATATATAACCATACGTATGATATTAGTAAAAAAAAAAAAAAAAAAGATATTTTAAGATAATAGATCAATCTTCTATTAGTCGTATAGCAGGTTCAAAATGCTGATGGTAACATGGCGGCAGATTTCAGTAATAACAAATTTAATAACACGTGTAAAGAGTTTTGGTAACACTATCTTGTCCCGTACTGCTCTACTTTGCCTTTTCAAACCCATCTCTGCTACATTGTTTTCCTCCATAATTGACATAAATTATGAAATAAACAAAGTGTGTCCTATCTTTTCTCGATATTAACAAATCACTTGTTACAATGGGGTTTTAGTTTGCTTTGTTTCCTCTGTTTGATAAGCTCGTATATGTCTTCAAGATAATTTGCCAGATGACATTTTGTTTGAACGATTCAGAAGATCTCATGTGGTAAAAGGAAGTTCAGCTCACAAGGTTCTTGTAGTTGAAATCAAGATTTCAAGAAGACTAAGGTGAGAACTTTCTTGAAAGAAGTCTTCAAGAAAACTGTTTCATTTTCTTATTTTTAAAATTTTCTTCCAGTTTTGATGTAACCTAACCATGGATTCATGTTACAGAATTGGTTGCACATCATTGCTAAATTCTGGGTGAAAAGACTGCCTCCAACGACTGAAGTCTTGGCCGTCACTAAGAGAAAATGGATTTGAGGTCAAGTTCTAAACATTCTGATAGTGAATGCATGTATAATGAATTAAGGGTTAACAATGAAGAAAAGAGAAAGATTGCAGGAAGATCGGTTTCACTTCCGTCCATAGATATATTACTAGACGAGAAACCTGGTTGGCCTTTTCTTAAAATAGCAACTTTAGGAACACCACAAGTTCACCATAGACACTCAAGGAAAGTCTCAGTTGTCAACTGGGTCATGAGCTTACCTGACCGGTTTTTAGATCATGACCAGAATCTAAACTCTGAGACCCGCTTTGTAAAGAAACAACTTAAGGACATACTAAAAGACGACAACAAATGGTTCAGCTACAATGTTCTCAAGACAGCAACATCAGATTTCTCTCAAGGTACTCTGTCTTCTATATTCTTTGTTTCTCCTTTCTTTGAGTTTTGGACTAATCTTTTTGATTTTATATGACAGAAAATCTGATTGGGAAAGGAGGGTGCAATGAAGTGTATAGAGGGGTTCTTAAAGATGGAAAACGCATTGCAGTAAAAATCTTGAAATCATCATCAAAAGAAGCTATGACCAATTTTGTTCATGAAATTGACATTATCTCTTCTCTGAGTCACCAAAACATCTCAAAGTTACTTGGTGTTTGCATCCAAGACAACAATCTAATCTCTGTTTACAACCTTTCATCCAAAGGAAGTTTAGAGGAAACCCTTCACGGTAACACAACACAACGCTCTCAACTTCATATAGAGAATATTCATATCAAATTTGTATATATATAAAGTATGATGACTCATTATGAAGGTAAACAAAAGGAAAAGCATGTATTATCATGGGAGGAGAGGTTTAATATAGCAATTGGCTTAGCAGAGGCGTTAGATTATCTCCATAACCAATGCTCTAAGCCAGTGATTCACAGAGATGTCAAAACATCAAATGTTCTTCTCTCAGATGAGCTCCAACCTCAGGTAATAAGACTCTAACATTGTGTCTGTATGAAGTCATAAGACACTAACATTGTGTCTGTATGAAGTCATAAGACACTAACACTGTGTGCTGCTTTATGATTTTGGAAACAGCTAACAGACTTTGGGCTATCGATGTGGGGACCTACGACATCTTCTAGATATTCAATACAAGGTGACGTGGTGGGCACATTTGGATACCTTGCGCCAGAGTATTTCATGTACGGAAAAGTCAGTGACAAAGTTGACGTGTATGCCTTTGGAGTGGTTCTTCTTGAACTTATATCAGGAAGAGATCCCATTTCGTTTGAGAAACCAAAAGGAGAAGAAAGTTTAGTCATGTGGGTATGTTTTCTTTTTTGGTTTACTGGTTTACTTGTATCGTAAGCAAGACTACTTAAAACCCTAAAAAGACTTACCCTTGGAATGCAGGCAAAGCCGTTTCTTGAGACTGGAAATGAAAAAGGGCTGTTGGATCCAGACGTAACAGAGATATCCGACGAAGCTCAGTTTCATAGAATGGTTCTTGCTGCTACACATTGCCTCACAAGATCAGCCACACATCGTCCCACTATAAGACAAGTAAAATTTTGTTTCCTTTACAAGAAAAATTATGATTGTCGTCATCAATAACTTATCTTTAATGTTTATTTAGATATTGAGGCTATTAAGAGGTGTATATGAGGTCGAGAAATGGTTCAAATGGATTAAGGAAGAAGAAAATGAAGATTGTTTCGATGACGAGGTTTACCCTTATACCAGGGCGGAATTACACTTGAGTCTTGCGATGATGCTTGAGGTTGAAGACGATGAAACTGTATCAATCAGTCCCATGGAGAGAAGTTACAACAGCCTTTTCTCTTCTTGTTGTTCATCTAGAGAACTTCAACCTTAATACACATTGCTTTTAGACTTTTATTGGAGTTTATCTTATAATGTTTTTGTTACTTCATAAAGAGTGTAAACGCACAACCAAACCTATAGCAGTTTACGTAAAACCCAACTATATTGACATAACAAAAAAAAAATATCACATAGCAGTGGACTTAAATTAGTATCACATTTTAAAATAGTTATTTTATTTTATTTTGATATATATCATATATGTATGCAAATAGACAGTCCTTTTTGGGTGCTAGACAGTCCTAATTAATGTGTCTCTCTTCTGTACTTATCCTAAGTTATTTGTCTATGTAAAGCTTCTAATATTACATTAGGCTCTACGAACTTGTTCTAGTTAACAAGATTAATTAAACACACACAAAAGACAAACTTTGGAATCTAATCGTCCATATCATTGGGCTCTCTCTGTCCAAGCACACGAAGAGACATTTCCATTTTTCCCATTTCTACGTCCCAAACATATACTATAAATGTCTCTTTTGATATATACGAAATAATATTTTATTTAAAGTGATTACAACATTTTTGACGATTAAATATTAAAGTCAAAGATGTATAAAGGTGAATAAATTTTCAAAATATCATTAACGAATCTGTTGACGTGTTCATAAATTAAAAACAGATTTCTAAAGCTAATTAATGTCAAATATAAGAATTTAATCAAACAAATGACGATTAATTTGTTGTTGCGACAGTGATTTTAAGTTTTTTTTTCTTGGAATCGTAGTTGGTGCTTGTGCAACTAAAATCCATTATCAAAATTAATTGAAATATCTAATTTGACGTTTTGCAGTTTATATGTTTTAATGATTAATTAGCCAATATATACGCAACAATGTTATAACATAATACATTTTAATATATGTATAAAACTAATTTTTCTGTATATATAAATTAAACAATTGTTTTTAACGATAATTAGACAATAATCAAAATATAATATTTCATATTTTGTTTTCGAAATCAACATCGGAATCATGGTGTTCAAAAATACGCCACAAGTTTAGATTTAGAAAATATTACGAAACATATAGAAAGATATAATGAGTTGTTGGAGAGCTTTTATCAACCTAAAATAAATAAAATATTTCTACGGTATTTTACAGTATTCATCTATACTCTTAGACTCTACTTTCACAATCTTATGTATAACTTATCTCCAACATCTTCTGCAGAACTTGAGATATATATGTAATATAAATTGAATTTACATGAGTAGATGTTTGTATATATCTGAATTTCAAGTATAACAATAAAGCTTAATTTCAAAAAGTATTTAGCCTTAAATCTTATTGATGCAAAATGTATTTAAAAATCAGGTTAACGCATTTTAACAAGTGATGGAATTAGAGTGCTGAAACATGCCACATTTTATGTCTTGATAATAACATACCACATATTTTATGGGTATGTATTTGTCCGCAGACTATTTCTTTTGCAATCATATATAAAAGATGAGGGTTTATATTATTGATTGGACTTTCATAATTTATAGTAATAAGTAAACGTTAACTGGGTTATGCTAATTAAATTTATGGCCGTTTATCGGTCTGTATAAGTACTCTAAAACATAAGATATAATGGTAACGTGTGCTCTAATGCTTATTAGGATATTGTTCGATTTGTTATTTATTAGAATCTGGATACTTCAAGCCAGATAGCAGGAGAATGACATTTAACAGTAAAGTTAACACGGAAATACCCCATAAGGGATAAGTCCACAAGCCTTATAATTCGACTTTAACTGATAGTTAAGTGTTTGATTGTTTTTTTCTTTGTTTGTTAGCGTTAGATAACCGTTTTGCAAATAAGGCCCGACCGGTGCTAAGTAGTAAATACTCTATAATTTCAACTACGTTATGAACAACATTAAGACTTAAGAGATTATGTGAGCCACGCTGAAATAAACAAAGGTAATATGACTAATAAGGTATCATAAGGCAAGATATGTCAGACCAACGACGAGACAGGCAAGCCAATATATAGCAGCGATCATGAGGCAGATAGCCAATAAAATAAAATAAAGAGAAAGTCTTAGAAAATCAACATACCTTTGTTGGATTATTGTAACTTCTGCATAGGGAAAATCGTTTTTTTTTTAAACTTTTGCATAGTGAATTGAAATTGATATATGGAGGTACGTTTTGATATGAATATAAAGGTCTTTCTCACACATCTATTAATCCATATCAATTGAAGAGGTTTTGATCAGATCTGAATAAATCATCATATGTCCAAAGGTACAAGACAGAAGAAAAAAAACAAAGAACGAGCCCGAGAATCAAGAGCACAGATAGTATCGAATAAATGAATTAGAATGAGTACCCCCACTAACCAAAAGAAATAGAATTTCTGCATCAAACCTACTTTTATCTTTTTTTAAAAATTAAAAAGTTCAAACCCTAAACGATAGCTACTTATCTCACGATCATTTTCACATCAACCATCCATTTAAGTAATGGAATCTTTCTAAAAGAGATAAATAATAAGTTGATTATAGAATAATAAATGGTGATTAACGACCTATTTCTTTTTTTAAATCACAACAGATATAGTACATCGGTGATTAACAATCTAATTATTTTCTTAATAACAGACATATCTTTGTTTTTCTTGTAACAACTTGGAATCTAGTTGTCCTAAATATATGACCTATATAAATCGATTTTAAACAATGCATAAATGATAATAAAAATTATTTTTTTTTCTAAATTATTTTTAGTAATAAATTCCATCAATTATTTTTGAATTGGAAGAAAACTCTTCAAATAAATTTGTAACATTATAAATCTTAAACTTACAAATCATTAACGTATGTTACTCTCTATCACGGCGTTATAGACGGAGAGTGACTTACGTTTAATGCAATTAAAGTTAAAAAATATTTCTTCTAATTTTTGGCTGTTTTACAATATATTTTTAGTTGAGAGATTTATTCCTAAACCCCATTTTAAACAAACAGTTAAGTTAATTAAGAAAATAAATGCAAGGAAAAAAATTCATATCTACTTTTTTTTTTTATCTTTAAGATGTATCCATCAACACTTTATAATCCACGCAGATACAATTAGTGCATCACCAATACACATCTACCACTATTGTAATTAATATTTGCTAACTAATTTTTTCAAAAAATGTTTCAAACAAAACAAAAATGAAAATATAAAACTAAAATACTCGTGCCAAGTGGAACAAGGTATTACTTTGGTATGAAAATGAAGTTCTTACATCTTTTAAAGGGTGATAAAAGAGGTGTATATAGTTCAATTTTAATCAAATGAGAAAGAGTTTGGGAAAACTTCGTTCAAGGAACAAATTCACTAAATCATTTTGTGATTGGCTAGCTAGTGTATTTTATTATACATTTTGTGTTTCGTAATTTATGTCTCAAATATATATATAGCAATAATATAAAATAGTTTATAAAGTTTTAAAATATATAATGGTCAAGTTACTAATCTAGGAAACAGTTCCAAAGATTCGGGAACTATTATTTTAATGTATCAGGTGGTAGAACAAATATAAGCAGACGAACTTATCGAACACACAAAAGAAGGCTATATATCATTGCCGTCCACATTTCAAAATATATATTCCCTTTCCCACTATACATGTTTTATAGTTTTTCAATAATATCTATTTAGTGTTTGGCTTATTTACGTCTGATGTATATATTTTAAAAATAAAAACTCATAGTTTAACTTGCCAGGACATTACCCTTATTATTTTGTAACTTGACGCCTTGACGGAGACAAATTAAGAAAAAGAAAAAATAAAGAACCGTACTTGAGAAAATAGTTTAACTCCATTATTCCCTTTAAGTCAATGTTTTGTTTCTATATTTAATGTAATTTTGTGGTCCGGTACATCCATGTTCGCTTTTTATATGATTATTTTTGGTGGTAGTACAAGTTTTTTTCTGAATCTGTTTAAATAATAGAAGATGCTGAGCTCCATTCACGTCCAAATATACAAACTTTTAATAATAATTAAAACTTTAGAAAGAAAAGAAAAAAAGAATCTCTCTCTCTCTCTCTCTCTCTCTGCAACTCGAAATCGTGATCGGGCCACCGAGTAGATGCCATCTGTTTAGTGTCTCTATAAAACCTTCTCTCCCATTCCCATCACTCATCTCTCAATCTCCATTTCTTTTAGGGTTTGCTAATTCCCAGAATTTTTCAATGAAATTTTAAATCTTTCTTATAAATTCAGTGTACCCAGTTGCTGAATTGCTCGAATTACTGCGAAATTAGGGTTTTTGATTGATTAGATTTTGAGCTGATTTTAACCTAGAAAGTATCGATTTTGGGGTTTTTTTTTAAAGAAAATGGAAGACGGCGAGCTTGAATTCTCCAACAACCAAGAAGTGTTTTCAAGCTCCGACGTGGGTGGGTTACCTCCAACCAGCTGTTCAATGGATACTTTCTTCGATGGGCTTCTCATGGATTCCAACGCTGCTTGTACCCACACTCACACGTGTAACAACTCCAACGGAACAGACAACAATCACTCCCACACGTGCTTCCACGTCCACAGCAAGATTGTCACTGAAGACAGCGACGAGAAGGTTTCAACGGACGACACAGCTGAGTCCTGTGGGAAGAAAGGAGATAAGAGACCTCTGGGGAACAGAGAAGCGGTTAGAAAGTATAGAGAGAAGAAGAAGGCTAAAGCTGCTTCCTTGGAGGATGAGTGTTCAAGGCTTAAGGGTTTGAATCAGCAGCTTGTGAAGAGGTTGCAGAATCAGGGGGCCTTGGAAGCTGAGGTCTCTAGGCTCAAGTGTTTGCTTGTTGACCTTAGGGGGAGGATTGATGGGGAGATTGGGTCTTTCCCTTATCAGAAACCGAATATTCCTTCCTTCTCCCACTTGATGAATCCTTGTAACGTGCAGTGTGATGATGAGGTTTATTGCTTGCAACATGGGTTTGATAATAGCCAAGAAGGTGGTGGTGGTGGTTCCATTAATGGTCAGGGTTTAAGTGGTTGTGATTTTGACCAGCTTCAATGCATGACTGATCACAACTTAGTTGGCAATGGCAATGGCAATGGAAACGGATCGTTCACATCTGCCTCTAATAAGAGAAAAGGTTAATATTTTGCACCTTACAGTCTCCTCTCTAGATCCTGACTTGGTATGTATTATTTGGGTGGAGTCAATGATGTGTTTTGGTGTGGACTTGATCATTTTTTTTGTCCTGGCAGATGCTTCATAGAATTAGTAAATGAGATCACTAATTGCGTTTTGCTCTTCGTTATAGCTGGGCATCGTGGACCGAAAGCAGCTTGAAGTATCATCAAGCTTGTACCATCATCTATAAACCAGGATAGATACTGTATTCCAAATAAGTTTTAGAGTTCAGCTGCTGCATCAGCTTCACTCAGATTCCTTTTGTGTTGCATTTTTTGCCTTTTTGTTTCTTTTGTGAAGCTATTTTCCTTCCATTGTTTTTGATTTTCTTGTTGAGTTTGCCCGTACCAGATGGATGATTTGTTAATATAAAGTCAAATCTTTCAGTGTGTGTGTTCTTGTCATTTTGTTTTCATGCTTGAGTAGCTTCTCTCTAAGTTTGTGTAGAAGAAGCTGAGTGACAGTTATCTCTGTGTATGACTTGTTTTGACTATTGATTGACAGTTTTTAAGGTGTTGGTGTGGTGTTTCCTTGGTCTTCCGAGTGAGATCTCTGAACAGGTGAGTTACAAAAGATTCAAATTCATTTTGCGTGGTGAAGAACCATTGATGACTTACAATTTTAGGGACTGACTCTGCTCTAGCCTTTTTGTAAGATTGCAGCAATTTTCTCACAAGTAGATTTGCTTAGCAAATGTATAGTCTAGTTTTTCTTGAACCACTCAAAACCAGACTTGCAAATATGGTTTAGTCGACCATCAAACTTAAGAATCATATCACACACTGCTATATAGGTTGGTTCAATCAAGTTAACAACAGTTATAATAGTCACTCAGACTCGAATCAACAAGCCACTCCAGAAGCTTCTTGTTCAAGTCGCATCACGATCACACTCGCTTGTTTGTGGCTTGGCATAGTGTATGGTGTAAACAAACATAAACACGTCAAAGAATCCACTTGTCTTAGCACCCACAATGGAGTCTACTACCTAATCTCCACCTGCAACTTATGTACATTTATATAGAAAAGTCTGTCTTGAGTAGTAAAGAGCTGTTTGTTCAAAAAAAAAAAAAAAAAAGTAGTAAAGAACTTTGGTTTGAATATCATTAATGCTTATCCACCATAAGGTCTCAGTGACAATGTTTATGATGCACGGGGACTACGATCTTGATATCTGCTTGTGACTTATCCTATATAATATGAAAAAATTGTAGCAACGAACATAATACATTCTTGTCAAAACCACGACATGTATCCTTTTTTTGGCATAACTTCCTGAAATCCTAAAATTAATACTCTAGGATCGTTATTCAAGAATTTTGAATTATCAATGAGCACATATCTTGTCGCTCACGCATGCTTCTTCACATATATGTCAGTCGACATTAGATCGTTATAGTTTTTACCTTATCAGAATAGGAAAAATCAAGTTGTATGTACACCTTTGAGGTGTGAATGAATAAGACAAGTCTTTTATGATATGTTTCACGAAATGACGAAATATATCGAACTGATTGCCATCTACTAAGATATGCAGTTCAAGATGGTTTTAATCACTACCAATTATTTCGACAAAGGAGCAAGTTGCATACATCTTTACTACAACTTTACAGAGACAATCGTTTGACAAGTTGTTGTCCAAGTTGAATGTTTGAAGTATTCGACCATATCTTTGAAGGGGGTATTACACTATATGTAAATACTAGATGTTTTGCCCGCATTTGCGAGTACAATTTTCTTATGAATATTTATTAGGTGATGTTTGATTAATTTAAAATTCAGTACAATAAGTTATTATGTTTTCAAAAAGTACAAATCAAACATCAAATAATTATCAATGACAAAACTCAAACATCAGAAATATTTAAAAGAATATATTTCTATAATTATTTTACTTGATTTATATTTAATTATAATATTTATACAAATATTTTTCTTAATTTATATTTAATTCTAATTTTTTATATCTTAATTTTAAATAATAATAGAAAATATATTTGCAAGATAACAATATAATGCATAAATTATTTATTTTCTAAAAATATATTATGATAAATTTGATTTAATTATATAACAATTATATAAGATTATAGAAATTATGACATAAATAAAATTTCCTAAAATCATGGAGAACTTAATGAACCAACAAATTCACTTCTTAAATAATTTTTATTGAAACCCTGTTCGGCGAGAAAACGCGGAGACCAGCGTCAACCATCAAAATTAAAGCGTTGAATTGAACTTACTCAGTCCCAGCGTTAAATAAAGATGGAAGACGCAGCGTCAGATTTAACCGACTTGTCGACGCCGAAAAGTAATAGCGTCATCCTTTAAGAACGCGCGGTGGACTTTTTAACACTAGCGGCTCTTTTCTCTCTCACCCGTGTTTTGTTTTGCCGCTGATTGCCGTAGTCCCTGTCTATTTCCGTGTTGTCGCCGTACCTGACGCTGCGTCTTCCGTCCGAACAGGACTTGAGTGATGAGTAATATTTAATTAATAATAGATAATTTTTTATTTTACTTTTAAATTATATAATATAAAAATATATTTCAAGATAACAACATAATATATAAGAATCACCTTATTTTCTAAAAGTATAACACTATTAGTGTAGATTTATTTCAATTACAAAATTACGATTTTTATATCTTAATTTTAAATTTCTAATAGAAAAATATATTTTCAGGACAGCAACTTAATACATAAGAAGTATCTTATCCTCTAAAAATATGATACCACTTATATAAATTAGTTTTAAATAGAAAATAAATTATATATAAAATATGATAAATTATAAAAAATTATCTAAAATCATGGAAAATATGACAAATCAGCAAACATCAAATTCACTTCTTAAATAATAGTATAGATTTTTTACACGTTAATTTTAAATATTATAATAGTAAAATATATTTTCAAAATAATAGCATAATACATAAAAATTCACTTATTTTCTAAAATATCATATTTTAATATAAATTAATTTTAATTATAATCAATAATAAAAAAAAATTAGAGAATTTCTCTGACAAATGATCAAAATTTCCTATGATCGGTGAGACAAATCAACAAATTCACTTTTCAAATAATTTTTTTGATGATATATATTTAATTATTAATAATATAATTTTTATGTCTTAATTTTAAGTTTTATAATACGAAAATATATTTTCAACATAACAACATAATACAGAAGAATTATCTTATTTTTAAAAAATATAAAATTACTAATATAAATTCGTTTTAGTTATATAATAATTTTTATATCTTAATTTAAAATTTAAGTTTTATATATAAAATATATTTTAAGATAACAACATAATGCACAAGAATTATTTTTTTTTCTAAAAATATGATATATTCATAGAAATTCTTTTTATTTATAAATAAATTATATAGAGATATTAGAAATATGATAAATAAACAAAATTATCTAAACTTATGAAGAACATGACAGCTAAGCAAATTTACTTCTTAAATAATAGTATAGATTTGATTGATATAAAGTTACGAATAAGAAATATCAAGCTGTATGTATATACCTTTGAGGTATGAATGAATAAGACAAACTTTTATGATATAGTTCACTTCATAATTGCTAATGATTAATTTGACACCGCAAGCTATCAAATTGCATTATCTTTTCGTACACCGGAGCTCTATCCCTGTGACTGTGCTAGTCAATTCCATCCAACTATAGTAGGGTCCAAGGGGAAACGTAGTATAAGCTTTATTAATGTTATAAAGTAATGTGACTTATTGTCGTGCCATTTTTTGCACATTAGTTCAGTTAATTCGTACTGTTATTTCACAAATTACAATTAGTCCTTTCATTCCAGTGATTTCTTTGTCATGATTGTTTTCTTAACATTTTCTGTGCACCTTTTCTAACATACTAATCGTTTAAAAGTTAAAACAAAACAAAATGAACAACCCATTTAAGTTTATTTAACAACATGCAAACATTTTTAACTCGGTCTTAGCTCTTGAAACATTACATACCAACATGAAAAGATATAAACAAAGAAAATCCAGTTCTCAGAAACACATGAAAACAACACAAAAAGAATCACATAACCACACAAGCGGAAGCGTTCTCGTCGCTAAACGCCGTAGTATAACGTACCTCAGTGGAGCTAGCACGTGCGAGCCGTGACACATGTGGATCATACTCGGTGTTCCTAACGTACCCAACCGGAGCTCTATTATCGTAGACACCAGACGCGTAAGGATGAGCCACAACGTCGTAAGGAACGTAAGGATATAGCTCGGCTCTTTTGCCTGTCCTGTGAATGATCCGAGCCACCACTCTGTTTGGCTCAACGTAACCAACCACTGTCACTTTCTGAGCATTAGGCTCGATAGTTATATCTCTTACTCCTTTCATTCCTTCTAACGCTCTTCTCACTTTCCTCTCGCATCCTTCACAATCTATCAAAACCCTCACGTCCACCGTCTAGCAATTTCCACCATCATATATTAAGTTGATGTATTATATATATGTAAAACGTAAAACAATATGTGGTGAGTTTATTTACCTGTAGACTTCGGTGTCTCTTGGAGTCACCATTGGAGCAATCGAAGTATTCAGAGACGTGATCAAGAACACCCATTTTTCTTCTTGGTTTTTCTTTTGAGTTGAGAGACAATAGATATAAACTTTCAAGTTTTGGAGGTATATGATATGATTCTTTTTTTTTCTGGTATTATTCAACAAAAACATGAGTTTTAAATCTTGAAAATACCAACCTACCAAACTCTATCAGTAGTTTTTGACCATATATATATATATATATATATATATATGTGCTTGTACTTAGTGCCCATAAACCTTCTTATAAAAAGGAGTTCAATCTATATATGTCGCTTTTGTTACATATGCACCTCCAGTATGGCGTGCAATAATTAAACATGACAGCCAGATGAAATAGACATTTGAAATATAATACAGGCTTGTCACTGATCGATATAAGTATTTTTTGGAATATTTCCTTTGGCAATTATTTCAAAGCTGACTAAACAGTTAGATAATTGACGATTAATATTTGGACTGGAAGTTATAATCTCTTAAGACGGATGATTGCTCGTGTAGCGTAATGGTTAACCACTCTTGACTGTTTATGTCCAAACAAAAATATGTATCAACATCATATAGTTTGTTATGGTTTTAAAATTGATTACTTATGTTTACAAAATTGTTATCAGACCACTGTTCAAAGTTCAAAACTAAATATTAGGTAATATTAATAAAAATTTAGATATTTTCTGGACTCAATGTAATAAATATCTGATATCTATTAAAGATATTTTTTTGTACAATTTTATGATTATTTGTATCTTTTCATAACAAAAAAAATTAAAATATTAATCAGAATAATTTTAATGTGGAATTTTTAGTAATTTATATGCATTAAAATTCAAAATATACACATATAAAAAACTATTTTTTTCATTGTTTAACTAGTAGTCAATTCACGCTTCGCGCGTGATGTATTTTTTTATGCTTTATATTGAGAATCTATTTTATCAAATGTAATTATTAATATGCTAATCTATTATAAAAGTTAGTTTACAATTAATGTTATAGCTTGTCGAAAATTTAAGTCGGTGGATAAGCGGTTCAGAATGAGAATCACATTTTTGAATTATAAGTGAGCTTTTGTAGTTATGACATATTGTTTAATTAAGTGTATTTATTTTGTATATATAATCAATTTATTTTTTGATGAACGAGTATTTTGATGGAAATAATATGTGAAAGTTAAAACGATAATGTATTATTTAGTGATAAAAAACGTAAATTGTGTGGCTTCAATAGTCATAGTTTTGTAGACATTGTTATTTTGACTTTTGAGCCACTTTGTCAAAGATTGGTGATGTTTGCAAGAAGTTATGGATTTTTTAACTCAATAGATGATATCTCCTAGAATTTCTTTAAAGAGGGTTTCGATACTAGAGAATAACTAATTTACATTTGCTATATTTTGAAAGATAGGTTGTTGGATTATAGTGTAGGTTGTTAGTCTTTTATATTTGTTTAAGTGGTATAAAACATTTTTAGTGAGTTATGTGTGAGTTAATAAAATGATTCATTGAAAATAGTAATTTAGTGATAATGTTGTAGGCTAACATATGTGAATTATAGTTAATACATCAAACATTTACAATAAAAACAATGTAAAGCTTGATCGTATAGGTAAATTTAAAACTTGAACATGTTTACGTTTGTTTTTGGATCTGTATTGTCGTGGTGATTTGACATTGAGAAGTCAAACATACTATTGTCGTGGATCTCTAATTTATATGATTGGTTTTTGATTTATATATATTATCAGGATATTAGCATAATCAAGTTTATTAATTATTTTTTTATTTTTAAAACATGGTGCTTTTTTAGTATATGATGTAAGTTTAAGTACTTTTCAATTTCTAAGCACATGTAAATTTTAAAATATTATTAATAACATTTTATAGTTATTTAAAAACAAAATTTGAAATTTGAACATATTGTTGTTTGCGTTTGTTTTTGTTTTTGTATTACCATGGTTATTTATTCGTGGAGCTATGATTTATATGATTTAATTTTTATTTATATATATTATAAATATATTAGCATAATCAAATTTACTAATTATGGTTTATTTTAAAAAATGTGATGTATTTTTTAGTTTATAATGTAAGTTTATGTATTTTTCAATTTCTTCACACATATAAATCTTGAAATATTATAGTACAATTTTATAGTTATATAAAAAAATTGTATAATATTAAATATAATAATTATTAAAATTAAATATTTATATGAGATAATATATATATGAAGATAATATGATATTTATTATTGAGTTTATCTTTCTATCCAGAGTTTTAAAATATTAAAAATATATATATCAATAAAATAAAATTATTAATGTTTATTTAATAAAAATTGTGTATATAAATTTGTTTATGATTATAAAAATTATAACATATTTCTGTTAAAGACATGATTTATTATAAAAGTATTTATGAACAATTTAATAGTGTTAATAAAATTAGTCCAAATTATAGAATGACAAATGTCATATTTTTCTTTATGGAAAGAAAAAATCCACTTTATTATATAAGATTAATATAATTGTTTAATTTATTTTATAATATAAATTAGACAAAATTTATGGAAATATAATTTTTATTAAATATTTATTATTTAATATCATTAATTTAAGTTTATTGAAAATCATATTAAATAATTATGTGACTTTTATTTAAGAAAAGATGAATTAGATTTTTTTGAACATTTGATTAAGGAGTATTTCATTTTATTATATATTATGACAATTAAAAACATCAAATTGAAAAGAATTGTAACGTTGACACATATACACTGTAATCAATGTTATAACTTAAAAATGATTCTCAATTAATATATAAGAGATGATTAATGAGTGTTCCAATTAAAAACATTAGATTAAAAAAATTTGTAATGTTGACACATAAGTATTGTAATCAATGTTACAATTTAAAAGATCCTTCTCAATTATATATAAGAGATTCATTGTATTTCTATTGATTGAATATATTTATGAAAATAAAAGGAATATAATTTTTTACTAAGGAAATACTTCTTAAAATGTATGTTTGTTTTCTTATATATATTGAGAATGTGTGAAGAAAAATCATAAGAAGTTAAAAAGAATATTTGAAACACAATCATAAATTTAGAGATAAAAATAATTATCACAATGAAGTATTTAATCACATTTGTGTTTACTATTCTTTTCCTCGAATCTTTTGTTCACTGTCATACTATGGCTAGCGATGTTACTCCTGCTGTTACTCTTGCTGTTACTCCTGGTAATGATTTATAATTGTATCTCCATTTTGAATATTTTGATAAATTAATAGACATTGATTTAATGATTTGCATTCATATAAATAGATTATGGAGAAATTAAGTCAAAAAGTTGTGTTTACATCTTGTCACCCTGTGAATATCCCAATGGACCAGCAATTTGCGACAACATATGTAAAAGAGGTAGACCTCATGGATACGGATATTGTACTGCTCATGGTGATTGTTGTTGTGTTTGGTGAATGTTGTTGTGTTTTTTTAATACAGTAAAACATCTATAAATTAATACTCGATAAATTAATATACACAAAATATTTCTATAAAATAATATAATTTTGTAGTTTCAAATTGAGTTTTTAGTTCGATTAGTATATCGATTAATTAATATCTCTCTAAATTAATAAAAAAAAAAAAATTTGATGTAATCCCAACATATTAATTTATAAAAGTTTCACTGTATGTGTCTAAGATGAAATTATCTTATCATATGTTTTAAATATCTATAACAGAATATCTAAAATAAAATAAACAATATTTACCAGATTAAAATTAGTTTGCTTAAATTTGAGTAATATTTATTTGAAATGAAGACAACTAAAATTACATGACAAAAATAATCATAAGATTTTGAGTACATTGTAAATACAAAAATATTCACTCTTTCCTAATGAATCAACATTTATATTTTGTCATCATCAATAGATTATATATGTTCAAACCAAACCAGTGTAATTCAACATGAAACATGCATCTACAAAAGATAGAACATGTAAATACATACATACAACAGCTAAAAAAACTATTTTAATAAAAATCAAATCTCTCCTCTTCATTGAAGTCTAACGGTTTGAATCTTCAAATTAAAATTTAATTATCTAGTATTATAATATTTTTCTCAGTTCTTTAATCGATTCTTAGATTGCTTGTATCTACCAAATTGGTCTCACCCAATTGTTCAGAGTCCAAACCTAAACATTCGACATTTAGGCAATAACTTGCGCTCGGGAGAATAATATATTTTATAAAATATTTAAAAATAAAAATTTTGCGTATAGTAATGGTAGGCCGGGACGTTCGGATCTAACTATCAAACTAATTAGTAATGTATAAAAATATTATTTATAATTTACTTAAATAAAAATTACGAAATTGTCCAATAAGATTAACAAATATATTAAATTAATGATTTTGAATAATAAAAGTTTCTAATATTTTTTCTTTCTTCCATTATTTTTGTTTAATTTTATATTTTAAAAGAAATTAAACAATCACATTAATCATATAATTAAAAATAGATTTTTTCTTATATGATATATTTTGAAATTTTTAGACAATTATAAATTACTAATACTGCTAAAAATCTACATTTTAATTTTGATGATCAATGTTATAACTTTTTGTTCTAAAAGATACACATGATCATAAAATCATATAAATCATTTAATATACATTCAGAGTACATTTATTTATTTATTTATTTCAGTATAATTAAATTAAATATATATCATATCTAAATACTTAAACATGTTAAATTCAAATTTTGCATTTAATAGGAAACATCAATTAATCCTATAAATAAAAATAATATTTTGTTATAATAAATATAAAAATGTTAGTAAAATCATATAAGTATGAATCCCTAGTTAATAAACATTCATATAACAATATATTATATTATATCAATATAATTTAATTTTAGTTATAGACTATATACTATAAATAAATTAGTATTTTGAATTTTTACCAACAAAAATTATTGTATATACAAAGAGGGGTTGTTTTCATTTATATCCTTACTCCAATTTATAATAGTTACTTGCTTCTTAATATTCACTATATTAATTATTGTATAATATTTAAATGAATACAAAATAAATAATAATATGTATAGATAGTGTGTATATATAATTAATGTTCTTTTCATACAAGTATGGATCTCAAATGTATTTTATCATATCATTTCAAAAATATAATTATTCATATCAAAAGGATATGGTGAATTATAACATCCGAATGATATTATTAAAACTTAATTGTACAAATTTATTAAAAAAATATGCCAAATTTCATTACGTTTTTTATTATATAACATATAATATTTATGAGTATAGCTTTTATCTTTTTATGGATGACAAAAACAAAAAAATCCTAACGTCAATTATTTGCAATAATAGTTGTATATGGCTGTTTATTTTCCTTACAATGGCGTAATTTATTAAGAAGAAGAAAAAAACTATTCAAGAACAGAATAAATGGTGAATCGGCCACGTTTGATTAAGAAAATTACAATTACTTCATAAATAGAAGGACAGAAAATATAAAAATATTATACAGTATTATTCAGGTAATCTAGTATTATTCAGGTAATCTAGATGTTTCAACTGACCAGACCAATTCAAAGTAAACAATAAATTTAAAATTAAAGAAGATTAAATACTCCCTTTATTTACATTAATTATTACTTTAACTTTGTATACACATATTAAAAACATCTTCACTCAATTCCATAATAGAGTATACTCTATAAATAGTGTAATCTATTTTTTGTTATTGATTACTTCATTATAAAGTGGAATTTATAATGGGATAGAAATATTTCTTCTCAGTATTCACTTTTACTCCATTTTTAAAGAAAAAAATATATTGAAAATGTTCTAAAAAGTTAATTAATTTTATATATTTTTATATAAAAATACAATTACATGATATATCATATAATCTAATTATATTTCCATCAATAAAAAGGAATTTCTAATATATAATTTCTATTGAAAACAAAAAATAATATTTATTTTGTAATAAAAAGATTTTTCTAACGATAATGAATATGAAATGGATGGAGTAAAAGATAGAACAGAACCGTGCCCTGCCATAATTCCACTTGGACTAGTATCCTTTTCTCATAATAGAAAAAGCCAAGAAAGCATCATTTAAGAAAAAAAAAAACATAAAGACAAAACGGCTCTGGCAAATCTCTGACCTTGGAAGATAAAAGATAGTAGTTCAGTCACATAATCAGCATGTGTTCGTCGTTTCTTTAGTGCTAATATTAAAAACTTAACAAACAAAAAAATGTTATAAACTTAATTATACCTATATATAATAACAGTTTCAGTTACTTTACTCCGTTCATCTTTTGTTTTCTTTTTCTTCGATTCTCAAATCAATAAATATTTATAAGGTGGTCTTGTGCAGAGGTTACATGCATTTTGTATTGAAAAACCAAACTTTACTTCCCGAGAAACTTTTTGACAATCAAGAAGATCGTTTCTACTTCTCTCTGTTCTTCAAAGCTTGAAGCTTTTCCTCTGTTTCTTGGCGTGGAAAGAAAGAGATGGCTATACAAGCTCATTTGAATTTCAACGCTTCCAACGTGAACCAAATCGGGTTCGGTACTGGTGGGTCTGAGTTTTCGTTGATCAACAACAATGGCGGAATCGGGATGGAAGAGTTGTTGTATATGAACAACCAACATACTCTGTTTCATCATCCTCAGAGCTTCTTAAACGTTCATATGGAGAAACAGAGGCAAGAGATCGATCACTTCATCAGAATACAGGTTCATAATATCAAAATCATCTAACCGTAAAAAGATTTGATGTTGGCACTGATAAAATTTTAACCTTTTGGCAGAGCGAGAGGTTGAGATACGTGTTGCAAGAACAGAGGAAGCAAGAGATGGAGACGTTACTGAGGAAGATGGAGACAAAAGCTTTGGTTTTGATGACGCACAAGGAAGAAGAGATGTCGAAAGCATTGAGCAAGAACTTGGAGCTCGAAGATCTGTTGAGGAGAATGGAGATGGAGAATCAAACGTGGCAGAGGATGGCTCGGGAGAACGAAGCAATGGTCGCAACGCTTAACTCGACGCTAGAACAGGTTCGAGAGAGAGCCGTGACGTGTCACGACGGCGAAGAGGCGGTGGTGGAGGATGAAGGGTCGTGCTGCGGAGGTGATGATAGTTTTCCGGCGAAGAAGATGAGTGGTTCTTGTTTGAATTGTGGGTCTTGTGGAGAGACGAGAGTGTTGTTTCTGCCGTGTAGGCATCTCTGTAGCTGCACGGGTTGCGAGGCTGGCCTTGTTCTTTGTCCGATCTGTAGCACTCCCAAGAAGAATATAATCGAGGCCTTTATTTTCTAGGGGAAAACTGTTTTTCCCGAGAAAATTGGTGTGTAATCGGTGGAGAAGCCTTTTAGTCCGGTGAACGGAGAGATTTTTACATCGGGGAGATGATGTGGCAGGGTAAAAGGGAAAGTTAGACTAGCAGCCAAATTAAGAATAGGAAAAAGGTTATCAAGAAGTAAATTTCTGATTAGGGTTTATTTTTTCTTTCTTTTTTTATTTCTTTCTTTTGCATCCAATGGAATGTAGAATCCAGCTGGATTTTTTTATGAACATAATCCATATATTTCTCTTCTATTTAATGTGATTTATTTTGTTTCATTGATTAACCAAATTTTCACAATATTACTATTTATTTTTCCTACTAATATTTTCTTAACGTTTGTCTGATTTTCCACATAATTATCATCCAACACGTATTCAGTTTATTAAAATATTTAATATTGTAATCAGCCATTTAAAATAGATTTTACTGTTTTTTTGTGAAACCAACAAAAGAACTAAAACAAATTAATTTCCAGTAAAAAAAATAGAGAAAAGAGGTGGGAGTAGAGTCCGTAGACACGCGTAATGGAAAAAGCTGGAGGTATTATTGGGTTCCTCAATAATCAATACACTATATAGTACAGTGACAAGATTTCACAGGCGAGAGTAGTGGAGAATCACAATTTGCCCTGCCATAGGACTGACCGAGTTCTCGCGCATCCCTAAACAGAAACATGTTTCATTGAACCACTTGAGCCTTCTTCTCGATCTTTGTTTGGACAGATCTGTGCTACCTATGTTTTTCTTTCTAGATCCTCCCTAATACCCTATTACATAACATAATCTAGTTATAATGTATATGCTGTACTATTATATGAATCACCATTCTCAATTTGTCAATAAATAAAATAAATAACGTAATACTGTATAAGACTTAGACTACTATCAATTTATTTTTACTCTTCAAAGTTTTCCAATAGACACGCAAATTAGATATCTTGTGCATGATTACTTGCTGGATTAACTTGCAACACCTATGTTCATGTATGCTACGTTATTAGCCATGGATTTTTGGTTATTAGAATTTCAGTGTTTCAAATGCAAATTTACTTGCATGTACGTACTATTATGTTTTAAAATTCATTGAGAGATAGTTTATTGCTTTAAAAGATTCTTCAGTTTGTGTATATATGTATATCTTACTAGTTAGTAACTTTTAGCTTGAAAATCGTCGAGTAAAATTAACTTAAAAACAACTAAACTATAGAGAGCTCCAGCGGCCCTTGATCTAGGGTTGAATTGAAACAGATCATTGTTTTAACCATGTAGTTTGTAGGGTGTTTCGTGTCATGAGCTCTTTGAAAATATAGTTATCGATTAGAGTCTTCTATGGGCAAGGCCCAAATTAGCCTTTTTAGACTCTATTTATTGAAAAGCTACAAACCTAGCGAAGATTTATAATCCCATTTCATCAACTTTTGGTGTTGGTTTTACTTTTCCTCAAAGCTCATAGAAACAAGTGTTTAATAATGAATCGACATACGTGCCGGCCCATCAGTTTCCACAGTTGTTGTTAGACGAGTTCAATTACAGCATCCACTTGTTGGTGTTGTTCTAAATAAAGTTCTGCTACGACTTCTTCTTGACAAATGACAACATGGGAGCACAACATTTTCAGTGCATCTATATTCTCTAGTCAGTAGATAATATGTAATACAAAGAAGAAAAATTAACGTCTGTATATTTCCATCCAAGAATACTCTTTGTCTTTGTTGCATTTATACAAAAGTCAAAAGTTGACTACTTCTAACTTAACCAGAGCTAAAGCAAGTCTTTTAGCTATAGCTTGATTTGATAAAAAAAAAAAAAACTATAGCTTGATTAAAGTACTTGTATCCATCCGCACACGCAATCAAAAATTCAAAATACATCCCTCCACCACTCTATTAAACCTATAATTCAATATTTAATCCCTCGATCATTTCAAAGTAAACTAGCTATTTTTAATGTGCGTGTTGCCTTTGTTCAGCCTACTTTTGTTTTTTTTTTTATAAAAAGAAGTATTATAGCTGCTGAACTCTTCGTATTGTATAACATACGTGTTGTTTGTTATGGTCATAAAAATAATAATTCTTAAAACCAATGACATGTGCGGCCGAAGTGTGCCCACTGCTCGTATAGTAGCAAATAAAAAAGTAGATTTTGGAAAATAAAAGAAACTGAGGTATTGTTTTGCAATTATCCACAACGTTAATGTTATAGATAGTGATTATGCTCACGTATTTCATATAGGCCACGTAGAAGCCTTTATAAGCTCATAAAACATTTTGATTATTGGCTTACGACTGCACCACTATATGGTACGCCACGCAAGTACGTATATACACATAAACATCAAATTAGATATCTTAGTGGATATCTTATTAAAAATAATTGAGATTGTAAGTTGGATAATTACGAACTGTATGTAGGTAGGTAAAATCATATATGATGACCACTAGTGAAGGAAGGAAGAAAACGTGGTTGCGTCGTGGATTCCATATCGTCTTGCTTTACTTTTTCTTTGGTTAGGCGAGATATTTGACATTTCCAAGTTCCAACAAAAATATATGTATACCACCATACACTTTTTTTTCACCATCATTTATTGGTCTGACCAAGTAAATTACATATGATGGAATGGGCTACTACTAGACCATGGTTTTGGAACTTTATGATAATACATTCGATCACTATAAGGAAAGTGCTCGTTTTATTTTATATAATAAAGTTAGATCACTATATATGTATAGTATGCTTTTGCATAATTGTGCATTGGCCTGGCTGAAAGTAAATTACATATGATGGAATAATGGGCTAGACCATGAGGCTCGATCACTACATCAAAATGCTCCTCTTTTTATATAATAAAGATAAATCTAACTTTGCCATAAGTTAAAAAAAAAATAATGTAAGCATATATGTTAGGTAAAGTCAGCTTTCTAACATTGGAATTGTCGACTAGGTTTACTTCCTAAACTATACGAATATTCGAAATTAAAATAGTATTAAGTCTATAGATTGTTCTGCAATTCCGTGATTTATTTCCCCCAAAAATCCGATTTTACATTTTTAACGAAATAAAAATAGAAATAAAAATAATTACTTTTTTTTAATTTTTTGGAAAGTCGTATATCCATTTAAACAGAAGCACACGTACTCGCTCAAAAATTTTGAGACTCTCTTTTTTACCTCGGAGCTTTGTCTGCCATGGAGAGGCTTCTGCAACCACCGTCTTCCTCCACGGTTTCCTCTCCCAAATTCCCGTCGAGGGCTTCTTCTCCTTCCCTTCCTCGTCTCCGCTCGTCGAGTCTCGGCTTCGTCTCTACTTACCGCCCCAAGTCACGCCGAGTCAGCTCAATTTCCTGTGAGAGTTTCCAGAACCAATCGGCTAAGGGATCTAATCTAGCTATCAATTCATTGAGTGGGCCTCTCTCTTCGTCTCCCGGAGCTGGAGAATTGAAACCTAATCCTGGATCTCTGCAAAGGATTGTGGAGGCAGTTTCTGAGAAACGAAAGGTTTGAACTTTTAAGGTTTATTGTGATTTAGGGTTTAAGGGTTTGATCTGATTCGTTGTGAGATAAAGATAGGAATTGAAATTGGAAAATAGTTAACTTTTAGTTAGAAGATTCCAAGAAATTTTGAAAAGCTCCAATTTTGTAGGGTTTTTGTATGATTGGGATCCAAGAATCATGGAATCAGGTTCTCGTTAGGTTTTAGGATTCTGGTACTCCAAAGGTTTAGACTTTGAATTTCATTTCATTTTTATAGGTCCAAAGGTTGAGACTTTGTAAGTATTTGATAAGGGCAGTGTGTGTGTGTGTTACATAGTGATTTGTGTGTGTGTTACATTGTAATCTTGTAGGGTTATGTATGTTTGGAATCCAAGAATCATGGAATCAGGTTCTCGTTAGTTTTAGGATTCTTCAACTCCAAAGGTTGAGACTTTGTAATTCATTTCATTTCAAATAGGTTCAAAGGTTGAGACTTTGTAACTGTTTTGATAAGGGAAGTGTGTTGTTAACGCTTCTCTTAACTTGTTAGGTCTGTGTGTTCTGCGTTGTGTTTTTCCCCTGTCCTTTTATGATACTAATATGTGTTTCTTTGCAGACGTTATCTACTGGAACGGTTATATTTATCTCTGCAGTAGCTGCGCTTCTGCTTAACCCTCTCCTAGCACCACCAGCTTTCGCCAGCTTCCAAACTGCTGCTAAAACCGGATGGCTAACAAGTGCCTGGACTGGTTTCCTTGCCGGTTGCTTACATACTCTCTCAGGACCTGATCACCTCGCTGCTCTAGCTCCGCTTTCAATCGGACGCACGAGAATGGAGAGTGCTGCTGTTGGAGCTCTCTGGGGATGTGGGCACGACGCTGGTCAAGTCATCTTCGGTTTACTCTTTCTGCTACTCAAAGACCGGCTCCACATCGAGGTGTTGCAGACTTGGGGTACAAGAATCGTGGGGTTGACGCTCGTCATCATCGGTGTTATGGGAATCAAAGAAGCTTCGGAAGCTCCAGAGCCTTGTGTGGCCTTGGAAACAGACATGAGCGGCATGGTGCCAGCAGAGAAAGAAGCCTTGTCGCCGCCTAAAAAGAAGAAAATAGGGTTTGCTACGTTTGCAACTGGAGTGGTTCATGGGTTACAACCAGATGCGTTGATGATTGTTTTGCCTGCGTTAGCTCTGCCGTCTCGGTTAGCCGGGTCTGCTTTTCTGTTAATGTTTCTGGTTGGAACGGTTGTGGCGATGGGAAGCTACACAGCGTTTATAGGGTCTTGTAGTGAGGCATTAAAAGAAAAGGTGCCAAGAATCACAGAGAAGCTAACTTGGATTTCGTCTCTGGTTGCTATTGGTCTTGGATTGGGAATTGTCATCAGCCCTTTCTTTGGGTTTAGCCTCTACTGAGAAAGTTTAAGCTTCAAAAAGTGAGACGAGTTGAAATATTTGTAGCTCTACAAGTTTTTGGTCGGTCCATTCAATCTACTAGTTGCTTGTACGAACAAAGTATCTTGCCTTTGAACTCTGCTCAGAGAAGACTATTTCATGATTATTTTTCTACTTTTAAGACAAGTTTGATTTTTGGTTTGTATTATCAAACAAGTGGATGCAAGTGTAGTAACCTTTTTTCTCTCTTTATTATCAATTAACAATGTATTATTTTCTCTTATTATCATGTGTTACAGTTAATAACAACCCTTGAGACTCTTGACTTTGATACAACCTTTCTCAAATGTGGCCAATTCAGCAGCACATATACAACAACTCTAAAAGTCTCTAGACCCACACAAATGACCTAAAGATTCTATGGCCTTTGTTGTCTTTATCGTTCATACTTGCTCTGCCCTTTTCTCCAAAAACATGTGTTAATAGGAGGACTCTTGTTGGCAGTTCTTTGACCATAGGTTTTTACGTTTGAGTTTGTTATAAATCTAGATTGTAGACGTTTGTCAAGCTTTTATCAAACAACACCGATTATTATATATCTTTGATGTACTGTTCTGATAAACATGAGACCAGTCTAAAGTCACAACACAGAAGGTTTAATATTACAACAGAGCACATAATTAAGATCCACATGATGAAGATTATATTATGGCATATCTGATCTCTTCCCCCTCTTCTTTCCATTTTTTTTTTCTCTCTGCCTATTGGAACCACACAACGACCAATCAAGAATCCTCACTCACTCATCTTAGATGCTTGGTCTCACGTTCAGGCGGCTTGCCAGCTTCTGTCCTAGCGACTTGTCAGCCTGTTTTCACAAAATAGCAGTGTCAAAATGTTACAAACTTTCACAACGTAACTGTTGAGGCTTCAGAGGATCAGACAATGATAGCAGAAGATATTTCTAGATCATATTATACCTGAGACCAGTAAGAGATCCAGATGCTTCGGATTTCATGTGTGATGCGAGGGTCTGATAAAGCTTCAATCCATCTACGGATAAATCGTTCTTGCCTGAAGTTAAAAATCAAACCATTAAACATGAAGAACTTTTTCGATGCATTGTGTATCAGAAAACAAACAAACAATGAGCTGATACCTCTCTGGTGTGAAGGAACGGTATCTCTCTCCAGGCTCCTTGAAGTTGTTCTCCTTCTCAATAATACACTGCAAAAACATACATCAAACTTTCAGATCATATGTGCCTTTTTATTTGTGTGAACAATCCTTAGGAACTAAAACAGAGTTGAAACACAGTCATAAGTTGATTACTGACCCTCTCACGTTTTCCAGAGCAGACTGCAGGTGGAGTTGGATACTTCTCAGCATGACGAACCGGGTCATACCTCGATGGGAAGTAGTTCACCTAATATCAACATCATTTCATAAGATAATGTTCTTGTTTCATCTTCAATATAAAGATACATTCATCATATTACATACCTCCTCGTCCCTGTGCATGAAGTTCATGAACCCATCATGATGATTATTATGGTGAGCACATTTAGGAGCATTAACCGGTAGCTGAAGATAATTAGGTCCAAGACGGTATCTCTGAGTATCAGCATAAGAGAAGACACGAGTCTGAAGCATCTTATCATCAGAGTAGTGTATCCCCGGAACAATGATAGCAGGACAGAAAGCAAGCTGCTCATTCTCCGCAAAGAAGTTATCAATGTTCTTGTTCAACACCATACGCCCAACGGGCTGAAGAGGCAATATATCCTCAGGCCAGGTCTTGGTCACATCAAGAGGATCAAAATCAAACTTATCCTCATCAGCAGGATCAATTATCTGAATAAAAAGCTTCCACTCAGGGTAGTTCCCAGCAGCAATAGAGTCATAAAGATCCTGAGTAGCGTGACTATGGTTGGTTCCTCCTACACGGACTGCATCTTCTTCTAATAGAGACTTGACTCCACAAGTTGGTTTCCAGTGGAACTTCACGTAGTGAGCTTTGCCTGATTTGTTGATGAGCATGTATGTGTTGACACCTGAGCCTTCCATGTGTCTGTAGTCTTGAGGGATACCAATGTCATCAAAGAGGAAAGTGAACATGTTGAGGCTCTCAGGGTGGTGTGAGAAGAAGTCAAGGACTCTCCAATTCTCTTGGATGTGAGATTTAGGGTTTGGTTTGAGGGCGTGGACCATGTCAGGGAACTTCATACCGTCTCGGATGAAGAAGACAGGGAAGTTGTTTCCTACTAGATCAAAGTTTCCCTGCAAGCAAAGGATGGATCATTTGTATTTTATTATTTTTTGAAGCTAACACTTTGTAGTTTGTACCTCTCTGGTGTAGAACTTGACTGCGAAGCCACGAGGGTCTCTCAAGGTCTCGGGACTTCCACGCTCGTGGATGACGGTGGAGAAGCGAACAATGAGTGGAGTTTGAACGCCGGGAGCTCTGAGGAAGTCGGCACATGTGAGGTGGGAGATGTCATGAGTGACCTCGAAGAAGCCTTTAGCACTTGCTCCTCTAGCGTGAACCACACGCTCTGGTATACGCTCCCTGTCGAAGTTGGCTAGCTTCTCGACGAGATGGTAATCCTCAAGGAGGATGGGACCTCTAGGTCCAACGGTCATGGAGGAGTTGTTGTTCCATACAGGAGCACCAGAGTTTGTGGTGAAGAATGGTGAGTTGTAAGAACTCGCTGGCCGATACTGCAATCATCAAAAATCAACCAATGATTCGAAATAATAATCAACTCAACGAGAATCACAAGTCAAATATAAATGAATCTTCTTAAGAAGTTGAAGAAATCAAGAAAGTCAAAACATCTACATCGACACCAATATATAGAGCAGTTCTAAAGAGACTAAGAATCCAAAACTCACTCACGGTCACTTGTGCAATACAAAAGCTAAAGCAACGTTTCTAACGACGGCGAACACATAAAAGAGGAACATGTGACCAGACAAAAGGGAGAAGAGTTGTTACCTTGTAAGGATCCATTGTAGATGAGAGACTGAGAGAGAGAGAGAGTTTTTGAGAGATTTAATAAGACAAGGCGGAGATGGTGATGATCTGATGATGATAATTATAATATTTGCTTCTCTTATTTATAGATGGCGTGTGTCTCACTTTGCGCTTTAAAGCCTTTTTCTCTCTTTTTTTATTTTTTTTTGCTCAAATCTTTTCTTTTATTTTGCGGGGGAATTTTTAAAGGTTATATCGTTTTCTCTCATTTTCTGATAAAATTTTTGGAAATCATCAAATCAAATAAACTGGGGAACCTCACGAGATTGATATTCAACTATCTATTATTTTTGAAAGAATAATTATAGATTCTTATAGTGTTACAAAAAAAAAGGTCTCTTGTAGGAATATTTTAGCTACAATAAAATGATTGAGGCAATTGTTATTCAGTAATGGACTAATGTATATAGCTCATATTAATCAACGTAGTTGTATTAATTTGATCTCGATACAGATGAATACAATTTTGATTCTCACGTTTTCAAGTTTAACGTGATACCCTTTTTAAAAAATGTGGATTAATGTTTAATAAAGTCAACTCCTCAAAACAGAAGATAACGTATCTTACAATTTAAGCTATCCTATGCTTATTAATCGTGGATGAGTGAATACTGGCATAGTTTTTTTCTGAAATTAACCAATTATATCATTTATTTAAATTTAAATTCATTTAATTAACGTCTAGTTTTTTTTTAACTTTATATCTTTGGCTGTGGTATAACACGTACTATATACTACAATGTCATCCGAATTTACATTCCCAATACAAAATTAAGATAAGCTGAACCCCGGGATGGATGGATGATTGTCAAAAATCTATTTTGTATATGCTGGTAGGAAGACAAAACAAAATAAATATTATGAGGACGTCACGGAGTTGCGGTTCCTTATCCGGTTCTTTTGGCCTTTTATCAGAAACCTTATTATATTAAGTGGTTTAGTATGTTTTTGATGACGTGGATGATTCTTTTGGGTTCCACGTGTGCTTGGTCAATGTGAACACTATAGGCAGGAGAATATGCCCTCTTGAATTGATTTATTGTATCACGTTTCGGCCCTTGGGATATGTGGTGAGATGAGGTTATCAACTTCCGAGTGGAACCTTCTTGTTCTTTTTCTTTCATATGGTTATGTGACTTTGGGACGGCATAGACTTCAAATTTATCAAATGGGCTACAAATAGATAGTTATATAAGTCAATTATGAGTAGACTAAGGCCCAAAATGTTAGAAATGCAATGTCGCTTAAACCACCGAATTAAAACGGCAGCAACGCAAAAGGTAAAAGGATATGGGCCGAAATATCTATCTAGCCCTAACTACTAAATTATACGCTTTTACAATTACTAGATGCATAGTCGGATACGTTTTTTATGTGCTGTGTAGTTTTGTATATGAGACTTTGCTATTTCTTTTTAACATTCGTTTATCAGACTTATCTATAATAGTCATGAATGAAACATTAGAAGTCACACAACTTGATTAGTCTGATAAAAGAATAAACATCGAATTCATATAGGTTTATATTTTCATATTTTATCTTCGTAGTGATTTTATCAAGCACTCCATTTATTAGTGATTTTATCGAGCATTACTGTTATTAGTGCTTTCATGTAAAAATAAAATAAATTAATGGAGACAAGACAAAAAAAGACATGTGTTTATTAGTGTAATTTTCTTTCTGAAATTATGTTGTATATATATATATATTTTTTAATTGTGATGTATATGAGATTTATGACCGATCTAAATGGTTCGGGATAAATATTTATTATTGAAAAATATGTTTCTATTTTATTTGATGATTATAACTGAATTGAAATGATATTGGAGGTTAGAACATGATAACCTTTCTTATAAAAGTATCTAAGATGGTCTCATAAAGTTTTAAATTCTTAATCCATTTTGTATCCCAACAACCAGAATAAAAAATCATTCTGAATCTTCCTAAGTTTTTAGGTATCCCAAAAAACCAAAATTAAAAAAAAAAAATTACATGCAAGCACTGCGTTTCGAACCTGCGAACTTGCGGTACTAACTTCTCATCACCAACTTACACCACTGGGCTATTTTATCACTCATCATTAACATTCAATCTTACAAAATCTTATACGTTTTTGTTTTCCCTAATAACACGCGCGGGGTCCGCCAACTTGTTGACGTAGACACGCTGGGGAACCTCAAAAATGAACTATTATTATATAGATTTCCCATTTTCATGGGATCATTAGATGTATAATCTTGGTTTAATTCGGCTTTCT